ACATGAATCTTCAGATTCCGCAAAACACAATGATAAATATAAGAAAATACCTAGTTAGTAATTTGAAAGTGTTTATTATATATGAACTACAAAAATATAAAATTATATAATGGGAAAGAAAAACTATGTCCACCTCCTTTCAGTGATTAGGAAACCTGTATTCGATTACATAATGAAAAAACAGAAAACAGGAGAAGAACTCAATAGACATTTTGCTTACGGAAACTCTTTTTGTTTTTAGAGAAGCAGAAATGTATCTTTAAAGTCTATGATGGCTCTAGAGTATCTTAAGTGCCAAATGCATAATCTGTGAGCACTATATTCATTTCTCTCCAGGCATTAAAAAGTCAAATTGGGACAGACCTTCAGTTCATAACAATAACAGTAGAACTAATCTGTCCTGGAAGGTACAGCAGAGAATAACCTTGGAAACAGAAATTGTCTTAAGATAATTTAGAAATTAATTAACATCCTCCAAATTTTTTTTTGTATGCAATTCCTAATATAAGTCAGAATAACAGGTATTATCTTTAATATTTTTAGGTTGATAACTAATACTTTTCAACCTGAGTTTAAAGAGTTGCAAAGGATGGCAGTATAAGCATTGACAGTTAATACAGAATGCTTTTCAATGTATCCATGGGATCTAAAAATAGCTTCACCAGCAACATCCTCCATTACATACATATTTTTTAAAAGTTTTTCTTCAATTGTCAGAAATTTAAACTTACTTTGAATAAAAATTTAGGCATTATATAATCTCTTATAAAGTGTGCATGTTATGTGTGTGCCTTTGTGTAAGAATCTCCAAAAAATAAAGGACTCTAAAAACAGGCTTATCACACTAAAACTAAAACTAATGACCATCATTTTGTTCATACCAACTGTCCGATGTTCAAAATCTCATACATGTCATGGTAGATTTTTATAGATATTTTGTATGAATCAGGTTCAAAATAAAGACCATTTATTGCTTGGCTACTAGTGTCTCTAAAGCCTGTCATATAGATCTCCTAGTTTATACTGGGCACAGGAACTCTGTGTTGCCTATTGTTTGTTGAATAGTTTATTCAACAAATATTTATTAAGCAACCACTATGTGTCCAGCAATGTTTTAGATGCTAAGAATGTAGAGGAAGAACAGAAGCCTACTAAAATCTGTGTCCTTTTGGAGTTTAAATTATCATGGGTGAAAGAAAAACAAAGAAATCAATATATGTCTAATGTTATGAAAAAAATTCAGTAAGTTTTGAAAATAGAATGTTCCCAGGGTTGCTGTTTCAGTCCGCATGGTCAAGGAACGTTTCTGAGGAGTTCACCGCAGAACAGAAACCTGAATGAAGAAGCAATCCCTAAGAATTTCTAGGGGAATAAAATTCCAGGCTAAGGAACAAGTAAAACCAAAAGGCTTGCCAAAGTAAGATTGTGCTTCACATGGCTGAAGAACTGTAATGAAGCCAGTAGAGCTGGGGAGCAGAATTAGAGAAGGGAGAGTGTTTAGCCCTGGAATGTCTGCATTGTGATTTAGTGTTTACTTCTCTTCAGCTGCTTTGTATCAACTGAGATCAAGGAGATGGCTCTTTATATTACCACCTCTACTCTGCTGCTTCCTGCCACTCTTTTCTGCAAAAAAAGGTACATCTGTGTCTTTCCCTGCAGCTTCACCTTGCCTAAGACTTTGTAGTCCCCTTACTACTTACTATGGGAGAGCTCTGTGGCGAGTTTAAAATCTGATATTTGCACACTTCTCAATTTGCTTCAACATTCACAATGTTTGGCAGCTCTTCTCATGGTCTGAGGCTTGGGATTATGGTTTTCTCCTTATTTCACAGAAGTTAAAAGATTTCTTCCCTATTCTTTATTCTTTTTGTTATGTTCAGTTAGCATTAGGCAGAAGAATAGAATACAAATGCTTTTACTCAGTCATTTTATATGGAATCCTTTTCCTCACCTACTGTTGATAAATTTAGACTAGGTACACCTAGAGAACTTACATTTCTCAATCTCTGTATTTTTAATTTCAATTTCTAGATTTTCCTATTTGAAAATCTGAGAAATTCTAGACCACCAAGACCTATAGACTTACAACTGTTGTTTAAAAACTAATTTAACACACAATCAACTTTAAATATATATTAAAGACTCTATAAAGAATATAAACTTGGAAACTACAGTAAATTTCTACCATGATCCTTATATTCAAACCAAGGAAAAACAAAACGCAAATAAATGTCAACATTCAAATGGATATGCAATGAAGAGAGAATAAGCAAAATATCAAAACAATATATGTTAAATAAATACAGCATTACTTTCAAGAACATAAGCTCTGGTTATGTTCATAAAAGCTTACTGTTTTCTACTTTAAGTAACAGTCAAATTGTCATATACTACATAAGTGATTTGCATAAAAAGTATTCTAAATCATCTAAAAGTACTTTTTAAAAAGTCAGCTCTTGGCCAGGTGCAATTGCTTACACCTTTGAGAGGCTGAAGTGGGTGGATCACTTGAGGTTAACAGTTTGAGACAAGCCTGGCCAACATAGTGAAACCCCAACTCTACTAAAAATTAGGGTGGGCATGGTGGCTCACATCTGTAATCCTAGCACTCTGGAAGGCCAAGGCGGATGGATCACCTGAGGTCAGGAATTCAAGCCCAGCCTGGCCAACACAGTAAAACCCTATCTCTACTAAAAATACAAAAATTAGCTGGCATGCCTATAGTCCTAGCTACTCAGGAGGCTGAGGCAGGAGAACTGCTTGAACCCAGGAGGCAGAGATTGCATCACTGCACTCCAGCCTGGATGACAGAGTGAGACTGTCTGAAGAAAAAAAAAAATCAAAAACAAAAACAAAATTAGCCAGTTGTGGTGGCACAGACCTGCAATCCCAGTTACTACTCAGGAGGCTGAAGTACAAAAATTGCTTGAATCCATGAGGAAGAGGTTGCAGTGAGCCAAGATTGTACCACTGTACTCCGGCATGGGCAACAGAGTGAGACTCTGTCTCGAAAAAAAAAAAAAAAAAAAAAGTCAGCTCTTTCAAATAGGTCAACATTTTCCTCATAATTGATTAATAAGTTACTATAAGTAACTTATTAAACTCTTTTTTCAAAGACATAAAACTCAGATTAGCCTTTACTAAACTTTAAAAACACTGAATTAGTGAGCTCACATGGTTATAAAGCAAGAGTTCAAAAATTGTGTATGTTAACATTTATTTTCTTATTCATTTAATAACACTTTTTACTTGCAAGTACTCTGCTAGAACCTAGTGATGGAAAGATAAATCATTCACATTCTCCCCTCTAGGGGCTCACGGTTAAGTAAAAAAATATAATAGAAGCAATGAGGTAAGTGTTATAATGAATAATAAATAAGTAAACCAAGTGCTATGGAGATCACACGGAAAAGGCAGTTAACTATCAATAGTGAAAGTGACATGTGAACTAAGTCTCAGAAATTGAAGAGAAGTTCGTTCAGCTAACAATGGACTACAACTTATTTCTAGCAAATAAACTGTGTACACAGACAAGAAAGCACAAGATATGCTGCTGGGTGGACCATGTAGTTCTGCATAGTTGAAACAAAGGGTGAATATGGAGAAAAGCTGGAGATGAGGCTTGCATAGAAAAACTACACAGAGGAAGAGCCTAAAAGGACTTACAGGTTAGGTTAACAATAAACTGTTAAGTAGGAGGGTAATATATGTTGAGAAAATACTTCTAAATATAGTGTGATGTGTGGGATACATGTATCTTAATGATGCTTCAGAGATAAAGGCAGTGCCAGTGGAGGTATGGATGGGGCACAGTGGTATGAGAGAATACAAGTAATACCACCCACATAGGATTAACAATTTAGGAAGTGGGTATTTTTCAGGATCAAAGGAAAGAGATCAAGAGGACTCAGAATTCCAGGTTGAGTGATGCAAAGAATGGTAGGGCCATTAATTAAGCTGAAAATAAAATGAAGGAATAAGAATTAGTGCAAAAGATAAAAAAGAGACAAATTAGAACATGGTGAAATAAAAGGGTGAAAGAGGCCGGGCACAGTGGCTCACGCCTGTAATCCCAGCATTTTGGGAGGCTGAGGCAGGCAGATCACAAGTTCAAGAGATCAAGACCATCCTGGCCAACATGGTGAAATCTCGTCTCTACTAAAAATACAAAAGTTAGCTGGGTGTTGTGGTGCGTGCCTGTAGTCCCAGCTACTCAGATGTTCGGGAGGCTGAGGCAGAAGAATCACTTGAACCCCGGGAGGCAGAGGTTGCAGTGAGCTGAGATCGTGCCACTGCACTCCAGTCTGGTGACAGAGTGAGACTCCGTCTCAAAAACAGAAATTAAAAACTAAAAAAAAAAGGGGGGGTGAAAGAAAATGTAAAGCAAAAGAAATCCAGGACCCGAGTTCAAGAGAGGAAAATTAGATGTATGCCTCTAAACAACATATCCAACACAAGAAGTAGTATACCAAATAACAAGCAGAGACTCTCAATTTCAAGGAATGTGAGGTTGTCTTCTATTTTTCCAAGTAGAAAAAAATTATAATCATATTTATAAAACTAAAAAAAAGCATTTTTAGCCATAAAGAATTTTTTTTTGAAATTTAATATATGCATGGGGTTTAAAAGACCACACTGAAAAGAATACACAGTAAAAGTAAATATCCCACTACATGGCTCCAGTTCCCCTCCCTAGAACTGTCATTACTAATTTTTTAAATAACTTTGTAAAGATATGTTAAATGGTTATAAGGATATAGGTTTACATATAATATATATCCTCCTTTAAATGGCCTATTAGAAAGAGTTCTCAACATACATTTTCTATTTCCTAAATATGACAGTACAGTAATCAAATTTATAATGGTAGCTCTATAAATCAAGTCAATATAAAAAGCCCTGTCTACACACAAGTAATTAACAGTTTTAATTATCAGTAAATTCAGTAATAGTAAAGATGAAAAACAAAACCCCACTAAATTTTCTTCCCAGACACTGACCTTTAGGGAAGTCCTTGGATTACAGGTTCTGAATGTGTGAGCACAATAGGGCCCATTCGCTTGAAGGTATTTTACTCAAGACTTGAAATCTGGGCTCCAACTAGAAAGGAGGGGAAAAAAATTACGAATTATTCAATAATTACGAATATTTTCCTCAATATAATCAGCACAGGTCCACTAACTATCTCATACATGAAGGCTTTTCAACCCTGGTTGGATACTGGAATCAAATAAGAAATTTTAAAATATGCTCTGATGCCAGAAGCCAACCGCTTCAAATCAGAATCTCTGGGGCTAGAGCCTAGGCAGAGATTTTATGGATTTCCCAACTGATTCTAATATGCATCTGGGGTTGAGAACCACTGCTACAGAAATGTAAAATCAGATGGTAGGGAAGTCACCCATAAACTTTTCAGCTTGTTACTAAATAATGTATGAGTATGGGAAATGCACTGTTTATTTTATTTTATTATTTTATTTTTATTTTTTTGAGACAGAGTTTCACTCTTGTCACCCAGGCTGGAGTGCAATGGCCCAATCTTAGCTTACTGTAACCTCTACCTCCCAGGTTCAAGCGATTCTCGTAGCTACCTCAGCCTCCTGAGTAGCTGGGATTACATGTGCACGCCACCATGCCCAGTTAATTTTTATATTTTTAGTAGAGACGGAATTTCACCATGTTGGCCAGGCTGGTCTCGAACTCCTGACCTCAGGTGATCTGCCCACTTTGGTCTCCCAAATGGGAAATGCACTTTTAAAATACTTGGGTAAAAGTGGCTCTAAATCACCAGAGTTTTCCTACTGTAGGACAAAGTGACGCAGGAGAGCCCACAACAGAGGACTCAATAGGTATTAACCTCACATTCTCTGAACAAGCTTAATAGCCCAGGACAAACCTACTCTGGATATTCCATTATGAAAGAAACAGGATCAAATACTGAAAAACGCCTTTAAATCTCCCTGAATTACAAAGAAGTTACATATTTAGAGACAACTGTCAAAATTTAACTGAAAAGCAAGATACAATAACTACTGCTTGAATGCAAAAAGCAGAAGTGAAATGAACAAATTTAATTCCTAACAATGACATTCACAAAACCTCTTTTATAGGGATTATAACCTATAGCATATGAAAGAGCTTAAGCCGGCAGAGAAGTAAAAAACCTAGTTCCTCAGTTGCATCAGACACATTTGAAGTGCTCAACAGATATTATGTGTCTAGTGACTACTGTATTAGAGAGAGCCAATGTAAAACATTTCAATTATCACAGAAAGTTATACTGGACAATGCTGGCTTGGGGATAAATAAACCCCTGAAACATCATATTAAATTTGTGAACATACATATATTCTAGGAAGATGACCTATGACTTTTCTTTGATTCTCAAAAGAGATCATGTTCAATTGTCACACCAATGATTCAAGTGCCAGTGCCCAAGCCCACAGAAAGTAGAAAAGGTATTTTTTCCCCCAAATAGTTACCACTTTTAAAAAAGCATATCATGTCAACAGTAGTACTTCCCACTAACAGGCATAGCCTTTCAACCACTGCATGAAGACCAGAGGGACTACTATTAACACAAAATGTTCTTCCCACCTCTCTGATGTTGTTATGGTCCTGGGGCTTCACTGCTTTTTCAGAAAAAAATAAAAATAAAAATAAAAATTAACAGTAAATCATAAGCAGAAAAATAGACCTCCTTTGCTTTATTCATCACCTCCAACTTCATTAAGCTATTGCTATATCCAAGATGGTTTACTTGCCCTTTAACCCCAAATCTCAGCTTTTTGTGGCAAAGGGAATCACAACAAAATGGAAGGTGAATCCCACATCCCTCAGAAAAAAAAACAAAAACAGCCTTCAGTCTGTAGGATGCTGTTCCTAAGAAGAATTCCAAGGAAACTTGGCTACTAACCTAAGATTTAACACCTAAGTTGCCATTAAAAAAACACTTACCACAAAACAGAAATATAAGTAGTAGGTGAGCTTCCCTTATGGATAAACAGTCTGGGTTTAGCTTCCACACTGAAAAGGTCTGGGTTTGGCACTGAAACAAAGTCTTCTAAAGAGACATCATGGTGTGATGAGTATAGAGTATATCCAGCTATACCCAAATTCTAGGATACAATCAACTGTTTAATTGATTTAAAAACTTAGCAACCCCATCTCTAATCCTTTGGCTCCTAATACATACATTAAAAAAAAGAAAAAAAGGCAACCTCCCTAAAATTTTCAACTATATCTTAACTAATGCAAATAAAAATTACTGGAAAAATGCTATGTATTTTATCTGTGAAGAGAAGATACATCCAAGCCAAAAGACCACACAAGAATATGAGTAAAAGCAGAAGGTAAAATAGATCCTCAATGTAAGACCAAAGCCTGTCTTTTTTTTTTTTTTTTTTTTTTTTTTTGGAGACGGAGTTCCGCTCTAGTCACCCAGGCTGGAGTGCAATGGCGCAATCTCTGCTCACCGCAACCTCCGCCTCCCGGGTTCAGGCAATTCTCCTGCCTCAGCCTCCTGAGTAGCTGGGATTACAGGCATGTGCCACCATGCCCAGCTAATTTTTGTATTTTTAGTAGAGACGAGGTTTCACCTTGTTGACCAGGATGTTCTCGATCTCTTGAACTCATGATCCACCCGCCTTGGCCTCCCAAAGTGCTGGGATTATAGGCGTGAGCCACCGCGCCCGGCCATGACCAAAGCCTGTCTTATAAATTAGGTGAGCTTGCTGCGTGAACTACAGGTCGTCTGAGTTCAATAACATCCCATGATTCAAATGTTACTAAGTATATTTAAGTCAATAAACTAAAAGTTTGGCATTTTCTTATCAAATTAAACATTTAATTATTATGTACTCATGATAAATTGCAATCCCATTCCTAAGTATTTAGCATGAAACAGCCATGTACCAAAATCTAGCCCACCCATTTTTGTAAATAAAGTTTTATTGGAACACATCCATATCCATTTACTTATGTAATGTCTACGATTGCTTTCACACTACAACAGCAGAGTACTCACAACAGAGACCTTACAGCATAAAATACTTCATCTAGCCCCCTGCAGAAAAGGGTTGCTGACCCTGGTGCTAAAGAAATGAAAACTGGGCCAAGTGTGGTGGGTCACACCTATAATCCCAACACTTTGAAAAGCTGAGGTGGGAGGATCACTTAAGGCCAGCAGTTCAAGACTAGCCTGGGCAACATAGTGAGATCCCATCTCCACACACACACACACACACACACACACACACACACACACACCAGATTAAAAATCAAAAAATTAGCCAGGTGTGGGGCATGCTTGCAGTCCTAGTTACTCAAGAGACTGAGACAGGAGGACTGCTTGAGTCTAGGAGGTAGAGGCTGCATGCAAAGTGACTGTACCACTGTGCTCTAGCCTGGGTGACAAAGCAAGACCCTGTCTCAAAAAATAAGAAAGAAACAGAAAGGAAGAAAGAAAGAAAGGAAGGAAGGAAGGAAGGAAGGAAGGAAGGAAGGAAGGAAGGAAGGAAGGAAGGAAGGAAAAGAGATAGAGAGATGAAGGGAGGGAGGAATGGAGGGAAGGGAGGAAAGGAAGGAAAGAGAAAGAGAGAAAGAAAGAAAGAAAGAGAGAGAAAGAAAAGAAAGAAAGAGAAATGAAATGAAAATTTATGTTCACATAAAACCTATACACGAAAGTTAACAGCAACTCTATTCATTATGGCCAAAGAATGGAAACAACCCAAATGTCCTTCAGCAGGTAAACAGACACACATATTATATGCACCCATATAACTCAAAAGAAGTAAAAGATTTTTTTTTGAGTCAGGATCTTGCTCAATCTCCCAGGCTAGAGTGGAATGGTACAATGCAGCCTCAAACTCTTGGATTCAAGTGATCCTCCTGCCTCAGCTTCCCAAGTAGCTGGGATTATAGGCACAATATCACAACCGCTAATTTTTAAATTTTTTTTTCCATGAAAATGGAGTCTCATTATGATACCCAGGCTGGTCTCAAACTCCTGGCCTCAAGCGATCCTCCAAACATGCTGAGATTATAGGCATGAGCCACTGCATCCAGATTGTAAATGAATGACTGATACATATAAAAACTTGGATGATTCTCAAAGTCATTATGCTGACTCAAACAAACCAGTCTCAAAAGATTACATACTGTGTAATTTCATTCTTGAAAAAAACTATATTGATGAAGACAGACTGGTGGCTGCCAGGAGTTAGAGGTGAGAGAGATTGTGACTCTCAATCTCTCTCAGAGAGCAGGACATTTTTTGGGTGATAAAACTGTCCTGTATCCTCATTGTGGTAGTGGTTATACTTATCAGCAAAGGTACCAAAATCCATAAAGCTGTATACCACAAAACGGTCAATTTTACTTTGTAATAATTTAAAAAACAAACAATTTGAAAACAGCATGATAGTTTCTGTGTTTATTTGTGCTTGATAACAGAATACATGAAGCTGGGTAGTTTACACATAATGGAAATGTGTTCCCTCATGGATCTGTAGGTTGAGAGAAATCTAAGCTCAAGGCATTGGCCAATTCAGTTGTTTGACGAGGGCTGCTCTGTGCTTCCAAAATGGTGCCTTGCTGCTGCATCCTCTAGAGGGGAGGAGCACGTGTCTTCACATGGCTGAAGGCGAAAGGGCAAGAATCCTAATGTAGAAAGCCTCCTTTACAAAGGTCTTAATTCCATTCATAAGAAAGAGGCCTTCATGGTCTAATCATGTCCTACAGGCTCTACCTCTTAATACCATCTATGGTTTGAAATTTCTCCTTTCCAAAACTCACATTGAAATTTAATGCTCCATCAGCACTTTATATAACTATATAATATTCTACTATAAGATTATGTTATAACTTATTCAATAAATCCCCTATGACTAGAAAAAAAAAAAAAGAAATTTAATGCTCCATTGTGGCAGTATTGTGAGGTGGGGCCTTTGAGAGATGACTGGCTCATGAGGAATCTGCTCTTATGAATGGACTAATCCATTCATGGATTAAGGTTCTCATGGGGGTCAGTTGGTGGCTTTCGAAGAAGAGGAAGACAGACCTGAGTTAGTACGTTCAGCCCCCTACCATGTGATGTCCTGTA